GAATACTCGTAATGCTTAACGTGATCATTTCTATCTAGTTTATCATTGTGGTCATCTTTATCTTCATCATCTTCATCTTCCTCATCATCGTTTTCCTCTTCTTCCTCTTCTTCCTCATCCTCCTCCTCCTCCTCCTCATCCACATCATCCATATCATCCACCCCTTCTTTGCTCTGAACCCAATCAAGGTAGTCCAAAATGGGCTCATTAACGAAACGACTCGTGTACTCGCCAAACAAAAAGTCGAGGTAATTGAACTTTGCTGCCGGCACGACCATGTGCACCACTCGATTGACAACTGAGCCCAGCTCAGTGACCAGGCGGAAGGCGTCCTTGGGCACGACGAAGGAGTCAGTCTTCCCGGAGAGCACAAAGATGTTCATGTCGGGGTGGATGTCGCGCAGGTTAATCAGTTCACCGCCGGTGAGGTAAGCTCTGTTGGGCGGTGAGTAGCGGCGAAACTCTCCGGTAAGGTACAGTTGCGCCATATGAGTGATAGCGATCATTGAGGTGCTGCTAGGGAAGAAGCTGATGTACAGCGTCGAGCGAGTGTGATTGACGCCAATGGACTCGCCGAACAACTGTCGGTAGGCGTAGAGGCAGCTCGAGTCGAAGAACTGTGTCCAATTAGGTGATTTTTAGTGATTTTTGTCTCCAAACAGCCAAAAAACCTCACTTACCTTCGTTTTGCAGCCCCCCAGTCCGGCAATGGTCAGCATGTTGTTGAGAAGGAATTTGTGCGGAACGAGCGCCAGACCTTGGGCGATCTGCGGCGTCAAGTGGACCAGAATGCTGGTCGACTCGCTGAAGTACACCATTGGAGTCATGGCCACAAACGGATTAATGGTTTCCGGACCGATGCGCCTCTGCGCCAGCAGGGAGAACATCGCCCCCGCCCCGTGACCATGGCCAACGTAGCCGATGCTGCGGATGCCAGTTTTTCGTTGGATGTAGCTGATGGCCGCGGGAAGGTCCTGCTCGGCAAACTCGTCCATGGAGAAGTCCCAGTAGAGGGGGTTATTGGAGCTGGCCCCGCTGCTGCCCTGCGAGTACTCGTTTCCTCGAAAGTTCATCGCCCACACGTCGTAGCCCTTGCTCACTAGACAGATGCCCAGGTTGTTGCTGCATGAAGAAATGTCGAGGGAATCATCATGCGGCGAGTTGATGAAGAAGTCTACTGCGGAGCCGCTCAAACAGTGGCCCAGCAGTACCGGCTTGCGGTACTTGCCCTTCCAGGATTTTTCGCCAAAGTTGGGCGGTACTATTCGGTGCAGTGTCAGGTAGTAGCCGTCCTCAGTGGTGATTGGGTGGCTCATCAGCTTGTAACCTCTTCGGGCGATTATCTGCTCAAAGGTCAGTCCTTCTTCATCGTCGTGATTGATGAAGAAGAGGGAGTGCACACTGGGAATAATGAGAAAAAGTGAAACAGTGACAAGAAAAAACGCAAAGAGAGTTGAAGAGAGTGACATGTCAGCTAGTGCGACGACAATTTAGGAACAGATCAGCTCAAACGTATAAGCTACTTTTTATTTAAATCAGGTTTAAAAAGCGGTAAATTGCTTTTTAACTGTTTATGCTGTTATTTAATAATCAAAGTGAAACGGCAATATGATTAAATGACGATAATAAAGTGCGTCGAAATTGAAAATGTAGCAATTTTTGACATTTATAAAAGCAAAACGACAAACATATAATGTTCAGAAAACAATAACTGAATTACAAAAGTATTTATTGATCTTTGTCAGTCAAGCGATACTTAGAGTAACAAAACGGAACGGTGTTTTCAGTAGATTTACTTTTATATTTTTAAAGTTTACTAAAAAGTAATTTGACATTTAGCTCAATATTTGTTATCAGTTCACACAAAAATGTTGGGATGTCTAACTGTTACAAATTGGGCTTATTTACGCAAAAACTATGAAATAATAAACAAAAAAGTAAACAAAGTTTTGCAAAACCAGAATAGGGCGTTTACATAAATTAGCAAACTGAGTCGATTCAAGAATCGATTTTTTGCTCTCTTGGGTAATAACTGATCAAGGAAAAATAGGAAAAAATTCCCTCTTCAGGAATTGTGAGTACCTGAGCTGCTCACAATCCTTTTGAGACCACCACAATGAGCCCAGTGGTCCAAAATGCAGAATCCCACTGGGACATTGA